ATTTCTCACTTCCCCCTTCAGTCATTTTAGCCAACCTGATAGGTGTAAAATGATATCTCAAGGTTGTTTTAATTTGCTGAATTTCAATTTTTAGGTCATCTATATATGATAATAGAAGGTATTTGAAATGTGAGATTCCCTTTGAGGATCTAAGGGAGAACATGGACTGAAATCACACAGGATGAGTAGGTATGGATGGATTATGATCTCCACCGATTTAAGGAATTCCCATGTTCCCTGTATCACTGAAGTGGTTACTGCTCCATGACTGTGCTCCATGGTATACTGATGAAAGAAGACACTTGGGCCACTTACAAAAGAGAGCCCTGTTTTCAGAAAAATCAGAAAACAAGTGTATGCAGATATGTTACTTGTGTGGAGATACAATACAAGCTAGAAACAAACAAACAAAACCCAAAGACTCAAATTGCCAGCCTTATGTCTGTTTTACAGTAAATTTTATTTTTAAAAATTCTCTTTTATAGATTTTATTTTTAATTAGAGGGATACTTGAAGATTATCTGAATGTCACCTCTTGGGATAAAAGAAATGTGTTGATGTGGGGGAAAGGAGAAATTAGGACCTGCAATCTAGCCTGGTGCAAGGAGTGAGTGTCATGTACAGTGTCAGAAAATCTGGTTTCAAATCCTGACTCTGCCCCTTATTACTTGTGAAGTAGTATAGGGCCTGAACAATCAGGAAGATGAGTCTTCCTGTGTTTAAATCTGTCCTCAGATACTTATTAGCTGTATGACCCTGGGCAAGTCACTTCATCCTGCTTGCCTCAGTTTCTCCTCTGTAAAATGAGCTGGAGAAGGAAATGGCAAACCAGTCCAGTATCTTTGGCAAGAAAACCCCAAATGGGGTCATGGAGTCAAACATGAATGAAACAACTGAACAACAAGAGTAACAACAATAGCAGCAGCAGCAGCACATATTTACACACACATATACATATCTATCTCAGAAATAAGACATTTATCAGAAAAATGTCATGCTTATCTTTAGCGTTAGATTATTTATTTTCCAATTAATTTTTAATCAGAGTTTTTCCAAAGTTGCTTACCTTTTCAGTATTGTTGTTGTATACATTGTTCTATTTTTGTTCACTTCATTTTTTATCAGTTCATACAGGTGTTCCCAGGTTGTTCCCCTCCCTCTCCATGAACACATTCTTTTCATCATTTCGAATAAAACAATAGTATTACATCACCTTCATGTATCATAACTTCTTGTTATTCCCCAGTTGATGGCTTCCCCTAAGTTTTAAATTCTTTGACACCACAAAAAGAACTCCTTTAAATATTATGTACATGCAAGTATTTTTTATTTGATCTCCTTATGATATAGACATAATAGATGTACCATTGGGTCAAAAAACTTGCAAAGTTTAATTTTTGAGGGGGCCTAGGACTCCACTAGATCCACTGGAGAAGGAAATGGCAGACCACTTCAGTGTCTTTACCAATCATATACCACAACTTGTTCAGCCCTTCCCCAGTTGATGGGCATTCTCTCAATTCCCAATTCTTTGCCACCACAAAAAGAGCTGCTATGAATATTTTTGTACATATAAGTCCTGTTGGGAGGTTGTTATAGAATTTCCTCCCCATCTCCCATAAGACTTTGGAGCACACTCTCCCACAAATGTACACAGGTTTTGTGAGAGGAGTGGGAACAAGCTTGAAGTATGTTGGGGAAGCATACATATAGAGAGCGCACATGAGAAAGGCTACGGATTACTAGAAATCCTTTCATTTTATGGGGTGTTCACATAGCTCTTTGATTAAATCTCAGAGTCAGGGAACTTGCAGAATACTGAAGCTGCCTTTTTGTCCTCAGTTCATTTCTCTTTGCTCCCAGCTATTGTTTGACACTGATCCAGTGTCTTTAATGGTATCCTCAATGAGGGGAGGATGGCTGCCTCCCAGTACAGGGACAAGGGCCTTCCTTCTTAAGGTGCTCTAGAGATTAGAAGCTCCCAAAGCTTGACCACTTCACAGTTGGAATGCTCCAGTGGGAAACCAACTCTTCAACTGGTTGGCTATTTCATTCATAGTCAGAGTGTGTCAGACTCCTACAACTAATCCCAATACATGTCCTGTGTGGCCACCTGATTTCATCTAATGATCAAAGACTTCACACTTTCCAATTTGACTAAGGACTTGTTCACACTTAATTGGTTGAATCACTCAATAGAGGTGGCTAGGGCTTCTGTAATTACATTAACTGGGATTGTGGGTATAGAACATCTTCCCCCACCCCTTACACAAAGTTTTGACTTTTATTTATTAAGCCCTTAGTAGTTAGATGGCACTTTTTTTTTTGTGAGGCAATTGGGGTTAAGTGACTTGCCCAAAATCACATAGCTAGTAAGTGTTATGTGTCTGAGGCCAGATTTGAACTCAGCTGTCCCTGGGTGACACTTTACCAGTCTCTGGAGATGAAAGTTAAAAACCCAGAAGTAGTTCCTGCTTTCAAAGAACTTAGACTTAACAAGAAAAATTTTCACAGGAATTATTTGGTTAATATAGTAGAACCACAGGCTACCTGTTCTTCCTTCCCTTTCTCTACTTCTATTTTTTTTAAAGTTTTTTTTGAGAAATCTGGATGATAAGAGGTTATAACAGAAATGAAACATTCCTGGAGGGATATCAAAGCACCTGGGATAAAAGGGCCTTCTGAGAAGATATAGCTGAGGTACCTCCAGTAATCCGACGAAATGTTATGGGTTCCCTAACCAAATATCTTTTTGGTCCCCATATACTCTGTCGAGGTATTAGTATAGGAGATAAGAGGAAGCTGGGAGTTAAGTGTGAATCGTGGTCCCCAGTAGCCAAGGGTAATGTCTGTTGAGTCACAGAATTCCTCAAAGATGCGACATGGTTGCTTTCATGGCCAGTGGTTCTCTTGGCTTCCCCCAATCTATGCAACATGCCTGAAGGATCTTTACAGTCAGGGGACCACAAGAGGAAGAAGGGACGTAGGGTACCAGAGAAGGAAATGGCTTGGAATGTGTGGATGTGGGACCCATCCATCACATTTTGAAAGGAAAGGAGCCCAAGGTGATAGTCTAGGAAAACACCAATCCTGTGGGGGGATACCCTGAGGGAGAGAAGCTGAGGAGGTGATGTGATAGCCCAGTACTCATTCTCATAGCAGCCCATAACCCAGAAACCATTCTCAGGTGTCACTTGAATACCTCCCTTTCTACTCACATCTTCTCTGCAGATGCCCAGGAACCACCCAGATCCATGTCCAGCCTCCACCTCCCAATAATGTCTCCCGGAAGTGATTTTCTCCTGGCCTAAAACACTTGGAAGGGATGTAAATCTTTGTGGGTTGTCAGGCAGATTCTGTCTTATGTTTCCACGAGTCACACACCTCCCCTTCTCAGAAAAGATGAGTTCAGGATTAGCTGTTTTTGCATCCAGAGTATTGTTCACTACAAAGAGAGATTAGGAGTCAGTCTCAGAGTTTAAGAAAACATTGATATTTCATATATGGGGAATAAGTTGAAATGAAATACATTAATGCCCTAGCAAGAGAAAGAAAGGCAAGATGGAAATGTGGCATTGATAATGAACCCTAAAAATCCTCACCCTTCTGTTTTCAGCAAGGGAAGCAGGTTTGAATCTGAGCACTCAAACTGTTTCTTTGAGTTACCTAGAAGATTCATATGTGGTGTTCTTAATGAGTGCTTTAATATGTCTGTAAACTTCCACCTTTTGGGTCTTATTCTACCCTCTGAAGGTATTCCCCAGTGGCTCTCCTTGGTTACCCTCCTCTCCATGTGTGTTGTCTCCCCTCATAAGAATGCAATTTTCTTGAAGGTAAGGACTGTCTTTGTTTTTATATTCGTATCCTTAGTTCTAATTGTAGAGCTTGGTACATTTAAAGTGTTAAACAAATGCTTTTTCATACATCCATTGTATTCCGTTTGCACTATTATAATTTAAAGCTATAGAAGGTTTGTTTTTTTAAACTAAAGGCAGTGTTACATAGGGGATAAAGGACTGACTGCAGAGTTGGTATGACCTTCTAATACACGCTGTCTGTGTGACCCTGGGCAAGTAACTTATCTTCTTGGTGTGCCAGGCAACTCTTTAAGGCAATAAATTATAGAGAAGTTGGTGATCTTCTGAGAGTTTTCTACTCCACTGCAAGCACAGGCTTTCTCTCTCTCTCCCTTTCCCCTTTGTAGCAAACGACATGGGCAGATGTAATAACCTTTTGCCAAAAGTGTGCCATCACTAACTGTGAGCTATGCTGTACTGAGTCAATTCTCCTTGCCTCAGTTGTCCTTAGATGACTTGGCAGAAGCAACTTTGTGGTAAAGGATAATGCAAAGTGATAGAAGTCATTCCTGGAAGGCATGATCCTCTATGACTCATTTCATTTTCAAGGGGACATCTTGTTGAAATTATAGCAAAAGTTGAAGTTATGAATTGGAGTGTTAGATCAGACTGTTATTGATACTACACACGGTACCAGAATACAGTAGATGTGAGTCACAGTATTTCCTTCAGGTGCCATGTTAGCACTACATGAGAATTTTGGATATTTGGAGTAAGAGAGAACCTTAGAGCAGGTACAAAGGAGATTCTCCTGGCCCAGGATATGTGGCTATGCTTCCTTCTTTTTTTTTTTCAGCCAAAGACAAGGTTTATTAGAACATCTGCTATATTGGCCAGACTCTTAAGGAATCTGAACATTACTGAGGTGTTGGCTGGATTTTAAGATTCTGAGCATCTTAATGGAGACAAGATGGACCTTATATACAAAAAGACTATGGGAGGGATCTAGGAGTGGCCAAGTAGTCTCAGAGACTGTGATGTAATAGAATGCCAGACACCTGGACCACGTGGCCAAGGGAGAATGGACCCCAGCTAGGATTAAGAATGGGAAGTGGCCAGGGGCCATAGGGAGGTAAGACAATGGAGGGCCAGGCTAGGTTAAGGGTAACAGAGAATTGGGAAATTGGGCATAGCCACAATGAAAGGCCAGGTTTGCTTCCTCCTAAAGGAAGTAGAAAAGTTTGTATTTGATTTCTTCTCATTCTCACTCCCTGGGAGGAAAAACTGGTTACTAGAGGGGAGATGGTGGGACACTTGAGGGGGCGTTAACCAGTCCATCCTAGAATTTGTGATACAGCAAAAGGAAAACTGTATTATCTGACATGTGCCCTAGATTTTGGGAAACAGATTTCAGTGGGTTCAGGGAAAATCTAGATAGGATCTAACTTAGGACTAACATGCTTCTGAGGAAGTCAGTCTAGGAGGGATGAAAAATGCTCAAGAATGAAAATTTGAAGACACAAAGAGAAACAAATTCAATGAGGAAAAGAATGGTATTTTTCTGAAGAGAACTATGTAGATGCACAGGGAATTTATCAATCAACTTAGATTTTGAAAAGAAATGTACAAGTCCAGGTAACAGAAGATGAGTATAACAGTGAGACAAAGTCCTATAAAAACAGTGTCAGGAATGCTAAACTTCAGTATGAGCTGAGGCTGGTGGGGCAGCTAAAGACAACAGAAGGGTTGATTATTTTAAAAAATAAATTGGAATAATAAAAGGATTGAAGAAGGGAGGGCCTTTCTTTGAGGTCAAAAGGTCAATGATAAGTGACAACAAACAGAAGGTAGAGCTGCTTAACTCTAATTTTGTGTCTGCTTTCTCTGCAAGGGAAAGTAACCTTTATAATGAAAATGATGGAACTAAAATTACTAAACAGAGGATTGATACCAAAAATAAGTGAGCAGAGAGAGTAAGAGCAGCCCCAATGAATCACACGTTCAGGTCCCAAGAAGACTGGCAAATGTGATTACTGAGCCATTGCCAGTGATCTTGCAAGGAAGGTATCCAAAGATGAGAGAAAGGCAAATATATAAGTTTTCAAAAAGAAGAATAAAGAAATAGAGAAAGAAAGTGCATAGAGCCTGCAAACTAGAAGCCCATGAGCTTGACTTTGATTCTTGGGAAATTCTAGAAAGAATGATTAAAGGGATGATTATTGGATGTGTAGAAAGGGAAGCAGTGATTACAAAGAAGCAGCATTGCTTCATCATAAACAATTCATGCCAGACTAACCACTTTTCATTGTTTGACAGGATTACTAAACTAAAAGAGGAGGGGAATGTTGTGAATGTAGTTTACCTAGATTTTAGCAAAGTTTTTGATAAAGTATCATATGACAAAAACAGAGAAAGATATGAATTAGACAGTAATAGAATCAGATGGTCTCAGAAATTGTTGGATGACTGGACTCAAGGAGTAGTTCTTAATGGCTCAGCATGAATGTGGTAGACTACCTTAGGCATCTGTCGCTGACCCTGTGCTCTTTAATATTTTTATCAATGACTTCAGCGAATGTTGAGATGGCATCCTCATCAAATTTGCAGATGACATAAAGCTGGTAGGCACAGCTAACACATTGGAAGACAGAATCAGGATCCAAAAAGCTCTTAAGAGGCCCAAGCATAGGGTTGAATCTAATGAGATGAAACTCAATCAGTGCAAAGTCTCGTACTTGGGTATAGAAATTCAACTTCACATGTATAAAAAGGGGCCCCAAAGCATGGATACACAGTAGGCATTTGTGACAAAGATTGTAAGTTTTAGCATACTAAAAGGTCAATATGAGTCAGCTGTATGATGTGTCAATCACAAAAGCTAATGTGATTTTGGGCTGCATTAAGAGATGTATCCCTTTTAGGAATAAAGAGGAGATAATCCCACTATACTCTGCCCTTATTAGAATCATCTGGAAAAATGTTTTCATTTCTCAGCACCAGAAAGAACAGTGTTCTGGAGTGTTCTAGAGGAGGGCAACCAAGATGGTGAAAAGCCTTGAGTTCAAGACATATGTAGTTTGATTAAAGTAACTAGAAATGTTTATCCTGAAGAAAAGAAGACCCAGGGAGATATGACAACTTTGTGGAGGTATCTGAAGGGTTGTCATGGGGAGGAGGGGTTAGACATGTTCTTTTTGGTCCCAGAGTAGTGAAATAAGAGCAATCAGTGAAAATTACAAAGAAGCAAATTGAGTCTTGATGTCAGGAAAACTCACTAATGACCAAAGCAGTGTGAAAGTAGAATGGGCTACCTAGCCTAGTGGTGGTAAGTTTCCTTTCTTTGGAGGGCTTCAAGCAGACGGTAGATGACCACTTATTGCATATGTTATGGTGGGAATTCCTTTGTGTGTAAGTTAGACCAGTTGGCCATTGAGATGCTTTCTAGTTCTCAGATTCATTCTGTGATCCTGAAAGTAAAGTGCTATTGATTTCTATTGCATGTTTGAAGAAAATTAATGCTGCAAAGACTCTAATGTATGTGTCACATTTATTATAGGTGCTATTTATTATGCTGTTGTATGTACTAAGTGGTAGATAACATGCTAGACCTGGAATTGGAAAGACTTGAGTTCAAATCTAGCCTCAGATAATTAAAAGCTGTGTGAGCCTGGGCAATGAGATGTCATGGGCAGGTAGGTGGCACAATGGATTGAGTGCTGGGTCTGAAGTCAGGACGACTTATCTTTCTGAGTTCAAATCTGGCTTCAGATACTTACTAGCTGTGTGTCCCTGAGGCAAGTTTGCCTCAGTTTCCTTATGTAAAATGAGCTGGAGAAGGAAATGGCAAGCTGTACTAGTATCTTTGCTAAGTAAACTCCAAATGGGGTCATGAAGAGTCAGCCATGACTGACCAATAAAACTGTATCTTGTGCAGTTTTTCAGGTTTACAATATTTTCACTGGGTGGGTAGTGGTACAGGGAGGATTTAGAACTTTTATCCCTCTCACTGCATAGATAAGCAAGAACCAGGGGCATGTCCATGTCAAAAGGTTTGATGGATAAAGCCAGAGAGTGGGATTCAAAAGGAGACTGAGTTTGAATGTCAAGAGGAAGATGGAAGAAATGGTACCAATCTCCTGCATATATATTATATGTGTATATGTATATGATGTATATGTATATGTATATGTATATGTATATGTATATGTATATGTATATGTATATGTATATGTATATGTATATGTATATGTATATGTATATGTATATGTATATGTATATGTATATGTATACACACATGTGTGTATATCTATCTATCTATCTATCTATCTATGTATGTATGTATCTATCTATCTATCTTTTTCTGCTTGGAGGGACTATGATATTTAGATGGGAAAAAGTCTGGTTTGAAAGGGCAGAGATGCAGCTTGATGTATTCACTTGAGAGAGGTAATGGAGAGGGTGGAACATAGAAGTGAAAAGATTTCCTGCTACAGCTTTGCTTATTCAAGCCATGTAACATTTAGGAGAAGCCCCATTAGGGAGTTATTATTTGCCATATTTTATTAGTGAAGAAATAGGCTCTGAACTGCCTTGCCTGAAGTCATGCAGTTATGTTTTAACAAAGCCTGGGCTAGAATTTAGGTCTCCTGATTGGTCTGCATAATGGAGAGAATGCTGGACCTGGTGTCAGAAAGACTGGAATTCAAATCCTGCTTCAGACTCTTACCAGCTGTGTGACCCTGGGAATATCACTTAGCTTCTTTCTGACTCAGTATCCACATCTGTAAAATGGGGATACTAGTAGTACCTCCTTCTCAGGGTTGTTCTAAGAGCAAATAGGGATATACACATATGTATATATTATAGATGCATACATACATATGCATAATATGCTTTGCCCAATTTAAAACAGCTTTAAAATGTTAGCGACTGCTAGTAATAATACCCCACTCCACCGCCATAATATCATACTGCTTTCAGACATTGTATTTAATGCCTCCTTACTTCTCTTCTAGGTAGAGTGACACCCCTTTGGAGACTGGGATAAATTGAAGAGAGAAAATTAAGCTCAGGATCTCAGACTAGCCTAGAGAGCTTTTAGAAGAGAATTGTACCAAATCTAATTTGAGACCAAAGCAAGCTCCTCCTTCATTGGCTCAGCCAATTTTTGATTGGACAAAGTGTGTTCAATTAACTCCCACTTTCTGACTCCAGATAAAATGCTAGGATGGGGCTACAGGGTTATTGTGGAGACAGAACAAGATAAAGCAGAAGTGCTTTGTAACCATGACAGTGCTGTGCTTGAGCTGATTCATACTAGCTCTTGAGAGCTGATTGTTAAATTTTCAGTGTGATCATTTATACCTTAGATATAAGCAAATCACAATAAATCATGATGATTTATTGTTTTGTTGATTATCTAGACTTTAGAAAGTGCTGGAGAAAATGATAATAATAAAATTAAACTTAAAAGTGTGTCCTTTTTTTTAAAAAAAAAGTACAAAATTTTTTTAAAAAAGAAAACCAGTTGTTAAGCATTTATTGGCACATCCCTGTATTACATCGTATATAATTATGAGGTATTATTGTCTTCTTCTGCTCAAACTTCTTGCTGTAGAATGGGAATGACCTGGGCTTTCTAAGGCTATGTCAGTGGAACAAAAGCTTTTGTAAGTAGTATCAAGCAAGGAAGTTTTGATGGTCTAGTGATAATTTCTGTCTCTGTGGTTCAAGGACCAACTTAGCTAAAGTTGGAAAAGTTCATTACTGAGTTGGCCTCCAGGTGAGGAAATGCTTTGACTGAGGTACGAGGACATTGCCATCGGTATCTGCACAGGAAGTATCTACAATGATGAAGTCGTTGATATTTTGAAATCCTGAATAAACACTTTCATTTTTTCTGCTCGGAGTTGTAATGCCATCAGTGTAGGGAACACTCAATAAGGAAATTCTCTTTACCAATGCAGATTAGAAACTGCTAAAATTTTTTAAGTAATAGAGAGTTGCCAAGGGCACTGAAAGTTGAAAGACTTGTCCAGAGTCACACAGCTGGTATGAGTCAAAAGTAGAATTTGAACTTGTATCTTCCTATCTGCGAGGTGGGCTCTTTATCTGCTATGCTACCTTACCTCTAGTAGTTAAGTACTGTTACTAACAATAAACACAATGCTCTGTACTAGGTCCCAAGAATATAGGACTTTCTTCACTCAACTGTGACTGAAGGTCTAGGACATAATCATCAGATTACTACTTTGGGGTTTCTGTGGTCCTTGCCATTCTGGGAGCTCTGAGAATTGACCTTGGGTGTCTTTGTTGCTCCCATTTTCACTATAACCATCAGTTGCTGGATGGTTACTGATCTGATGATCAGGAAAAAATGGAGGAGGGGAGTGGGGCATAGTAAAAAAGAATAGAGTAAGCAAGGAGAAAAAGATGGTGAGAAGGAAAAGAGAGATAAAAGGAAAGGGAAAGATGAATAGAAGACAGATGAAAAGAATACAGAGGGGAAGGAGACAAAGAAGATGGGGATAGAATGATATGGAGAGAGACAGGTAAGGAGAGAAGAGAAAGAAGAGGGAGACAGAGGAAGAGAAGAAAGGAAGAGGGAGACATAGAGACACACTGAGACTACATAATAGAGATTCACAATTTGTCTCATATATACAAGGTATATTCATATTATGTCTAATGTATATACACATTTTCATATGTGTTGTAAATACAATATGCAATATATATTGAAAGATTCATTTTATTTGCTATTCAAGTTAAAAATAAAAAAATAAATGTGAGAGAGGAGGGGAGAGAGAGAGAGAGAGAGAGAGAGAGAGAGAGAGAGAGAGAGAGAGAGAGAGAGAGAAAGGGAGAGAGTCAAAGACTCAAAGTGAGATGAGATCTCACAACATTCCACATTCTACACCATTTCTCAGTTCTCTGTCAGTCACCCAGCTCTCCTTGCATCAACTTTTTTTTTTCAGATCAAATTACCTTTTCTATAATACTTGTTCCATGTAAGAGCCATAGTTGCAATTAATAGGAAGAGCCCCAGGGTGAGCAGGATCTTCCAGGAAGAGGTCATCCCCAGTGGTGGTGGCTCTGAAACAAGAACCTCAGGGTCCATTAACTATAGGTGTGAAGTGAATATAGTGCCATCTTTTTGATCTGGATGACTCAGGCACCCTTGGGGATGTTCCTTGTGAACCCCCAGGAAGCTCTAGGTCTGCTTCCTCCTTCTCTGTGGATCCAAAAGCAGCATCAGAGAGGATGCCCCTGACTTCCCTGTTTACTATTCAGCCAAGTCTTCAAAGAAAATATTTAATTATCCTTTCTTCCTCCAACTCCTCTACCAACTTACCTGCACCTGCCCAGAAGTCAGTCTGGGAAGGGGGAAGTACTAACAACTCCGACTGACATTATGCTAAGGAATTCCTTTCTTCTCAGCAGGTGTGTGAGGCAGGTAATGTAAGGACGAAAGCAATATGCTACTTCCACCTTTCCACAGATGGGGAAACTGAGGATCAGAGAGGTTTAGAGAGTTGCAGCTACATAGAGTGTCAGAGCTAGAACTCAAATGCTATAGTGCCTTGGACATAGTAGATGCTTAATAAATGTGTTTCTTCCCTTTACCATTTCCTTACATGATGCTATCTCCCAGAATCTAAAGTGCGTCTGTATGAGGCTGGGGCCTATATGAGAGGGGGACTTAATGGGAGCTGAAAAGCTTAGAAGAATCACAAAACCTGATAACTCATGACAGTACTTAACATTTGCGGTGTCTTCATATCTCTCATCAATCTACTTACTATTACAGTTATTTGAGTACATCATCTTAGTTTATTGCATTTTAAACTCAAGGGCAGAGACTTAACCTTGCTCATCTTTTTATCTCTTCGAGCACCCAGCTTTTAACAAATCCCAACATTTAGTAAATGTTGGCTGAAATTTGGACCTATGTTAAGAAGAAACAGAAAGGTCTTTGCTTTTGAACTAGGAATCCCACTGCAAGGCATATACCCCCCCAAGGAGGTCAATAGTAATAAAAAAGGTGCCTCATACACCAACATATCAATCAATTAATATTTATTAAGCACCTACTATCTACCATGTACTGATCTAGGCACTGGATACAAATACAGTGACCCTTACTTATGACTTTTCTTGCAATTCTAACAGGAAAGACAACCAGAACATATTTGAACATATATAGATTAAAGATGAAAAATACAGACAAATACAAGTAGTTAAATACAGTGTAGTTTGAGAGGCAGGGGATTAGTGATTGGAAGTTTCAGGAATGGCTTACAGAGAAGACTCTAAATGAATTTAGGAGGAGGAAAGGGATTAAGGGCAGACCTGCACAATTTGGCAGTAGGTAGGGGCCAAAATTAAAATAGGCTAAACTTTTTTGGGCTGCAGATAGGTTTTCAGTGTCTCACTTTCCAAGTAAAGATATAATTAATGATTAAACTATTTTGCAAATAAACAACATTAAAAAAGGGAAATTTCAATTAATATCAATTAATTACACTTATTAAGATTTTTGTTTATCATAAAGTCACGTTAATGTTAAGAAAATTACTTTGCTAAGTGGTACATGTTTTGATACATTTGATACATTTTTCAGGTTTTCTTACTGTTTACATTTAGTAATGCCTGAAAATACAGCGAAAAGATATGACTCTCACTCCTCTCAGACTAGAGACAGACCGACAATGGTTGGTTGCCAAGAGTCACGTGGCAAACAGGAGAGCGTGCACAGTGGCAACCTGCCTGCCAAGTTACATGATGGGCACAATAATGACTAGTGGAAGGTGGGTTAAGCGGGGCACAGATAAAGCACTCGTTACATCTTTACTTTCTTTACATCTTCTACATTTTTTGCGGGTTGCCTGAAATACTTTGGTGGGCCACAAATAGCCCATGGACCATATGCTGTGCAGGCCTGGATTAGGTAGATGGGATGGAGAGAACTAACCTGGAATGTAGAAAGCAGATACTTCCTGGCCAAGCAAAGGGTTATAGATGGAACAGATCACATTCTCCAGGAGGTAATTTCTGACCACCACAGATGCCTCCACATGGAATAGACCATTTGTGCTCTGTATCTGGACCTCAGAGAGGGCAGACAAATTCTTTCCCCCAACCTCTCTGCACCACACCAGGGGCTGTGGGAACCATCCTTCTGAAGTGCACACCAGTTGAACTCTTCCATCTTCATTTCTCTTCAGGGAGATCTGAGGGGTTGAGCCCAAACCTGAAAGAGCGAAGACAAGAGTTTGGGGCCTGGGGTAAAAGTAATTGAGGTTTTTGGGGTAGGGTGGAAGGGTGAGCTGGGAAGAAAAAGGGACCCTCGATGTTTGGGTAAAGTCAAAATAATCCTTCACCAAAGTATAATTGGGAGATTGAGACCTTTATTGTTTGGAGGGGTATAAAGGATATTTTCAGATCTAATTGTTTCAGAGTTAGTAGTAGAAAGAGAAAATGGCAACTCAATTCTGTTTTTTGTTGTTGTTTTGTCAAACCTTGGTAGCACATGAGTGAATGGCATAAGGCCAAGAGCATTAAAGGAAAGGCATAGCAAGGGAATATTTTCAAGGAGCAAAATCTTGTGAAATGCATACGTTCTGGTAAAGTCGAATTCAAGGAGCATGATTCTTCACTTTAGCAACATATAATAACAACCACCACAGCTAACACTTATATAGCACTTACACAGTGCCAGGAACTGTGTTAAGTGATTTACAAACGTTATCTCACTTGATATCACAACAACCCTGGGAGTTAGGTGCTATTATTATCCCCATTTTCCAGAGGAGGAAATTAGGACAAACAGAAACTAATTACCTCGACCAGAATTACATAGCTAGTAAGTATCTGAGACTGAGCACTGGCCCTGAAGTCAGGAGGACCTGAGTTCAAATATGACCTCAGACCAAACACTTAACACTTACGAGCTGTGTGACCCTGGGCAAGTCACTTAACCCCAATTGCCTAAAAAAAGAAGCAAAAAAAAAAGTATCCGAGGCTGGATTTGAATTCAAGTCTTGCTGACCTTAGGCCTGGCGCTATATCCATTATGCCACCTTGTTGTTATTCAGTCATTTCTGTTGTGTCTGACTCTTTGTGACCCCATTTGGGGTTTTCTTTGGCAAAGAGGGTGGAGTAGTTTGCCATTTTCTTCTCCAGCTCATTTTACAGATGAGGAAACTGAGGCAAACAGAATTAAGTGACTTGCCCAGGGATCACACAGTTAGTAAGTCACCTAGCTGCTTCTTATGATAAATGGGAGAAAAGCTTCCATTAGTATTTTCTGTTGTAAGGGCCAGAAAGCCCCAGCACCAAACTGCAGAAAGATTCTCTTCTAACATTTAGCAGCTGCTCCAGACCTGGAATCCACGGATTGGAGAAGCAGCAAAATTGGATAAGAGTTTGATGGACCTTTCTTTGAGCTCAATGGTCACTATTGAATTAAGTACCCCAAATATCTTCTTGAAGCCTTTTCAGTGGGAGAAAGAGGAAGAGAAAGTTTGTAAGTTATATTCTTTTCTCCTACTTAAGTGAAGTTACTGGTCATTTCTTTCTTCTTTTTTTTTTTAATTTTCCTTCCAGCTTATCTGGCCTTCTATTTAAAACTGATATTCTCTGTACCCAGGTTCACATTTTCTCTAAGAGTTCATGACATAAAATGAAAAACAGAGTTTATAGCAGGTTGATAGAGTGAAAGACCCAGAAAGGAATCTCCAATTAGCTTGTTACTTCAGGAGAACTTGGTAAAAGAGCCCATCATGAGTACGAAGGGACATAACTGGGCCACAGAGAAAAGTGTAGGTGCTTTGAAAAGTTCCAGAGCCAAAGGGAAACTCTAGATGTTATAAGAACCCATCAGTTATAACACCCCCTCCTCCTTTTTTCCTTGCTTATCAACACACACATACACGCATGCACACACACACACACACACACACACACACACACACACACACTCAGTCACTCACATAGAGGAATTCCTATCACCTGCAGACAGTTCAAAACCCCAAGCCATGCTGCTCCTCACCTGCTACTTTTAGCTCCAAACTGGCTTCCTGATGGATGCCATTTTGTTCAAAACGACACCAATATTGCCCATCATCTGATGTATCAACATTGAATATTTTCAGGATCCCTCTCACTTTGTCGATTGCATGTGTCACTAATAATGTCTTTTTGTTCTTCTCTGTTGCTTTTCTGGTCTCATCAACCATATCCTGATCCATGAGCACAGGAGACAGCTGGGCCTGGAACCATTTCACTTTCAAGTCCTCTGCATTCGTCTCAGGGGAAAGATGACAAGATAAGGTGACATCTTCCCCAAGCCTGGCCACAATGGGATGGGTGGGACAAATGACTTTTAATTTAGCTGATGGTGAAACAGAAAACACAGGTCAAAGAGAATCAGAGTAGTATTGGCAGTGTTATCAGCAGGACTATTTCTAGGAAAGGTCACCCAGTCAGTCAATAAACATTTATTAAGTTCCTATAGTATGCCAGGCACATAAGCACTGAGGAGACAAATAAAGGCAAAACAGTCATCTGTCTTAAAAAAGTTATATTCTAATGGAGGACACAACATGGAAACAAATCTGTACAAACAAGATATATACAAGATAAATTGGAGATAATTAACAGAGGAAAGGCATTAGCATTAAGGAGGATCAGGAAAGGTTTCTTGTTGAAGATGAGATTTTATTTGCTACTTGAAGGAAGCCAGGGGCCAGATATGGGAAGGGAGAATATGCCATGAAAAATGCTCGGAGTCTTGATTTGGAGCATTTTGTACAAGGAACAGCAAGGAGGCCAACGTCATTGGATTATAGAGTGTGAAGTGCAGAGTAGGGTAGAAGAAGACGGTAAGAAGGAGTCAAGTTGTGGAGGACTTTGAATGCCAAGCAAGAGATTTGATATTCGGTAACCAGAGTTTATTGACTAGAGAGGTAATGTGGTCAGATACGCACTTTAGAAAGATCACTTTGACAGTTGAGTGGAAAATGGACTGGAATGGGGAGGAGGCTTCAGCAGAGAAACTGATATAATAATCCAGGTATGAGATAAAGAGGACCTATAACAGTGTTGGCAGTGTCAGAAGAGGGAAGGGGGCATAGATGAAAGATTATATGAAGATGAAATCAATAGGATTTGGCAACAGATTTGATATGAAGACTGAGGAGTCTACGCTGACACCTAAGTAGTGAGCCTTGGTTACTGGGAGGATGGTGGGGCCTTTGACAATAATAGGAAAATTAGAAAGAAGGGAGGGTTTGGGAGAAAAGACAGTGAGTTCAGTTTTGACTGTGTTGAGTTTAAGATGTAGAATATCCAGTTTGAAAAGTCCAATTGGTGGTTGGAGATGCAGTCAGCAGCCAAGGAGAGATTGAAGATAAGCCAGAGAGTGGGGTTGATAGCACCCAAGGGTGCATTCAGGGTCATTCCTTGGGAAATGTGAGCTGAGGGCTATGCTGAGGAGGCTACAGGGAAAATGCCAACCTTAGTGAAATACAGGGCAGAGTCATTCCAGGGCAGAGGGATGAAATGCATGTGTATGTGTGTGTGCAGGGATGCATATGCTACTCCACCTAACCAGCTCCGGCTTTGGTGGGTGGGGTAGAAGGGGGTGTGGGTGTGGGGGGGTGGGGGTGGAGAGAGACATAGATTCTTTGTCTAGATTGCCCAAGGCTGGGGATGGTCTGGGTTTAGGGATAATCTCTCTGTGACATGATGTCACTCTCAGCCCCTCATTGGAGTGAGCTCACTTCTCTTTGTAAAGTCCACCTCTCATTAATTGTTAACCAATCAGAGTTGATTGCGACCTTCAAGAACACCCCTCTTCCAAGGGCATATAAACCGTGAGCCCATCTCCATGACTGTCTTTGACATTAGAGGGTGTCACTGACCTTTTATTAAAAATGTTGGCATTATTAATAAAATGATCAAATTATTCAGAAAGTAGGTCTCTCAAACTTTTTAAACGTCACAGTGGATGGCTATTCAGAAGGAAGGCCACTAAGGACATGATGGCCTTCATACAAGTTCTGGGAATACAAGAACTGCTTTGGTGTAAGAGTATCTTGGATGGCTGTTCAGTGCTAACTCCCCTCTATCCCCAAAGCCTTGTCTCTGCAATGAGAACAATGGGTAGGATTCCTTGAAAAGTGATGATCAGTATCTGGAGAAATTAGAAATGTCCATTACAGACTTGTAACAGAACCTAATCTGAATCCGTGCCAGTCCAGAGAGAGGCTATCCTGAATATATGCACTCTTCGATTTGCGGGAAGTGGGAGTGTGGGATTAGACGATGTGGGAGGACAAACTGAACTTACCAAGCTCCATATGCAGTTTCTCTGAAAAAGAGAGAGAGAGAAATTTTGAAATACTTATATATAAAGGAAAAGAATAGAAATTACCTTTGGGGTATGCAACAAAGGCTTGTTTCTTTACAGACATGCTCAATTCCTAAGGAATTACCATAAAGTCTATGTTGAAAGGGACAGTAAAAATCATTTTGACCAACTTCTCATTCCACACAGAGATGACTTCTGATGGTCTCACTTCTCAGCCAAAGAGCCTTCTTAATGTTAGACAGCTCTAATTATTGGGGAGATTTCTTCCTCAATATTGAACTGAAATCTTCATCCTGCTATTTCTGTTACATCTGTCCTGTATGTTACCCACCTCCAGAGAGAGAACTAATGAACTCAGAAGGTATATTGGAGTACACTTTTTTCCTTTTTTTCCTCTTTCTTGCTTTTTTTTTTTTGGTGGGCAAAGGGAAAGATATGGTTAATGCAGAAATTTGTTTTGCAAGACTGCAAATATTTGTGATGAGTTTTGTCTTTCTTTTGTTCTTTGGAAAGGTGAAGAATTTGGAGCTGAAAATAAAATAAAACTCAATTAAAAAAAGAAATGATGAGGACAGTTAGGTGGTGCAGTGGATAAAGCACCAGCTCTGAAATCAGGAGGACCTGAGTTCAAATCTGGTCTCAGACCAAACACTTGACACTTACTAGCTGTGTGACCCTGGGCAAGTCACTTAACCCCAATTGCCTAAAAATAGTTTAAAAAAAAAGAAATGATGAGAAAATGTGTCATTTTTGAAGGGGTCTATGGCTATTGGTATAGAACATTGTATGTATGGTCAAACTAGATTAGGTGTTATTCCCCCTCCCCCCCACCCCATTTTTTTTGTTAAAAGGAATAACTGAGGGAGGAAGGAAGGATATATTTTGGAAGCCAAAAACAAAGCGTTGATCAAAATTATTTTTTAAAAAGCAAGAGAGAACATTAAGCTAGGAGACCTCAATTCCAGGTATAGATCAGTGATTAACTAGTTAGATCATCTTAGGCAAAGCATTTGATTACTTTGGGCCTTATTTTTATAATTTGATACCTTCTTTCACAAAGTTTTCATAATGATCAAATGTGTAGAAATTCTTTGGGGTAGGGGAAAGCTTATAAAGCAACATATGAATAGCTTAAGGCACAGACAAAAAAAATTGTAAGGAAAAAACATTTCTTCCACTGTCCATGGAAGAAAAAACTACTAGAATAAAATCTGTGAGTTTTAAAAAATGAATTATTTTATCCAGAAAAAAATGAAATGACTAGTGTAAAATTGTACAGTAAATTAATAGTACAGCCATATATGTATATATAGGTGGATAAATATAAATACACCTATGTATATATATGTATATTATGCATATAATATACACATGTAATGTGGTTTTATATATTTACTTATAAATATATTGTACACATAATAATAATTTATGCATATATATGTATATATATATATATATTTTTTTTTTTTCTAGACAAAATAAAACAAAACCTCAGCCAATCCTACCACATTTTTAAGGAAATAAGATTACATTGAAAACCTTAGAATCATTTCTCTGCAAATGTTGCTATTCCTATTTGCGGCAGCAGATATGGCTAGCTCAAGGCCAATGTCAGGATAAAATATTCTCCACTGAAGATAGAGACCATTTAACTTTTAGCTTTATGCCTATCATGTTTCAGCACTTAATAAATATTTGTTGAAATGAATCTCACCAAACTGATGTTTGAAAAATTTCACACCTGATTTGGAAATCACTTCAAAGGGAAATAGTCTCCAAGCTCATGTGAGCCCCAGTTCCTGTGATATATGTTCAGAATCATGCTTCCTTCAGCAATGACATCCTTACCACTCCAGTCTTCTCTTTGACCTCTTTCATCTGTTATCTGGCCACATCAGACCCAACCTGATAAACAGTTAGTGGAGAAAAAGTGGGAGTAGAACCACATGAGTACCATGTGTTCTGTACTCCTCTTGGAAGGGTAGAAACAGGGCAACGTACTGTCTTCCCTCAATATGGTTAGGGTGGGATGGGTAGGGCCAATCACTGCAAAATTATTTATACAAGATAATTACCAAGAGGACTTATAGAAAAGACATGAAGTTTGCCCTTATAAGGTTTCCATCCTCCCCAATGAAGATGAGCTCTGAAAGGCAGGAACTGGCTCTTCATTGACTCATGCTATCCTTCCTTACTTCTCCAATGTCAGAGGCAGTGTGGCATAGTAGCTACTAAGGGAACTTAGAGTCAAGAAGACCTGGGCTCAAGGCTGGCCTCTGAAGTATATTGTTTGTGTATCCCTGGATTAGTCACTTAGCTTTTCAGTGCTCTAGGCAATTCTCTAAGAGTATCAACCTGTATCAGTAGGGAGAATTTCCTCATCTAGGACTTCCCTTTATCAGTGAAATCACAGGTCCAGTCAGTCCCTCTCCTTCTTGTTGTCTTTCCCCATACTCTGATAGTTTCGATCCTATCTATCTTTCAAGATCCAGTTCAAATACCATATCCTCCAAAAAGCCGTCTCTGGTTCCCTTAGCTAGCCATGGTCTTTCCCTTATTTATAGTCTAATTTTGTTTAATTTGAGTGTCTTTCATATGCTTTCAAGTTCTATTTTATATTCCATTTATTTGTACCCATGTCTTAGCACCTTCTATTAGACTTTTTGATAGTGATTGGGTCATTGATTTTTTTGTATCCCTATAATGCCTACTCTGACCACAGGATCTTGTACAAAGTCTGGGCTCAATTGAGTTTTGGTTAAATGGAATTGAATTTGGAGTTTTCAATTCAGTGATGCTTAAGAGTTGCTAGAATGCTTTTCATTTCATGATGATGAATTGAGTGGAGGTGGAGATCAGAATGGGGGATGACTCTTTAATACGTCAAATGTAATGGGATTATAAAGAGGAAATTAGGAAGCCATCCTGCATCTTTGAGGTTATCATCAGGGATGGTAACTGTGCCCTCCCAGACGTTTGCTGCCCTGGAGCCACTATTCATGGTTAGGGACGTTCCTTTGGGTAAACTGAGGACTGACTCAGAATGGCATCGCTTATGAGCTTAAGTACACAAAGTTTTTCCTCCCAAAAGAATCCCAAACATGTCACAGCCTGCCTCTTTTCTTCTAATGACATTAGGAGACAAAGTAATTAATTGTCTGGCTCTATCAACAAAAAAAAACTTAGGAGATGACAGTTCAGTGGACCTTTTCTATCTAGATGATTTTTCCTTTTGGGAAATGAGGGATTTATTTGATCAGCCAGGCATTGTAGTCAATAAAGACTTATTATGTTCCAAAAACAATGCTAAATGCTAGGATGCAAAAAAGGGGGGCAAAAATAGTCTCTCCTCTCAAAGAATGAATATTCTAATGGGGAAGTTGCTTAGTCATTTTTTCAGTCATGTCTGGACTCCATTTGAGATTTTCTTTCTTTTTCTTTTTCTTTTTTTATAAAGATACTAGAATGGTTTGCCATTTTCTTCTCCAGATCATTTTACAGATGGGGAAATTGAGGCAAAGAGTTAGCAACTTGCCCAGGATTCACACAGCTAGTAAGTGTCTTCCTGATTCCAGGCCTGGTGTTCTATCCACTGCACCACCTAGCTGCCCCATGAGGATAGACAACATGCAATTCACTGTGTACAAGTTTTAATATACATAATGGAGGGTAATCTGTGGGGTGGTGAGGAGAAGAGTGGAACCAGGAAAGGCCTATTGCAAAATATAGGATTTGAGCTCAGAAGGATAGGGGTGTGTGTGTGTGTGTGTGTGTGTGTGTGACAGAGAGAGAGAGAGAGAGAGAAGTAGAGAGAGAGAGAGGGAGAGCGAGAGAGAGAGAGAGAGAGAGAGAGAGAGAGAGAGAGAGAGAGAGAGAGAGTAGTTAAGCAAATTCTAGTTTATCAAAGGATATTTTGCAAACAGAATAACAGTGATATAGTTGGAAATCTTAGTTTCCTAAGTAAAAATTTCAGGGTAGGACTCCTTACTTTTTGCCAACTCCAAAATAAAATTCTTTTCCCTATATTTTAGAGAAAAGGGTGTTGATTGGCAGGGGGTTGCCCCCTTTACTCTCATTAAGACTGGCTTTTCATTATCTTTTGTACTTTCTCCATATATACCAGAGCCACACGAAAAATAATACTCTATTGGTGGGAACTACATTTAGGTATAATAGCTATGTATTTAATGTGTATGGGGTGCCATAAATCATCAGTGGCTTCTGGAGAACATTTTGTTGATTGTGAAGGTGAGAGGAAGTGGGTAGAAGCTTGCAGAAATGTGCAGGATTTATTACAACTTGAAACTGACCCCAGAGGTTAAAAGATCTGATAGAAAAATATCTTTTGCCCTTGCAAATTGTATTTTCATCATGTTTATTTGCATAGATTTTCCCCTTCCCCTGATTAGGAATGTTTGAAGAATTCTAAATTCTGTAATTTGGTAAGTTTCTTGGTTTTTTTTAGCCCCGTTAAGAATGTAAGTTCCAAGTTATTGTCTGTGTATTCTCAGCATCTAGATCAATGCTTGGTACATAGTAGGCATTTCTTAATAAATGCTTGTTAATTGATTGCTTGATTGATTACTTTATATCTCTTAGTTTCTTCTAGTAAAGTACTTTTTGAAGAACCCAAACCTGTGTGACTCTGGGTAAGTCATTTAACCTCTCTTTGTCTTAGTTTCCTCATCTGTAAAATGGGGATAATAGCAACACTTACCTCCCAGGGTAGTTATGAGGATCAAATGAAATAATAATTGTAAAGCACTCAGTACAGTGTCTGGTACATGGTGAACACTTTATAAATGTTAGCTATTTATTATTATTACTATTACTATTATGCATACTGAATTAGCCTATTCTTTGAAGAGTGGACATTATTCTCCATGCAAGGCAGCTATGAAACCTCCAAGCTCATTTCTTAGCATCTCTTTCAACCTTTGCTCTTCCATACCTTGCCAGGAGTTACTTTGGCAACGACTTCACAACTTATTTTTCTTTTC